CACCACTTATCCACTCCCTTTTATTATCTTTCCATGCATTCGTTTACTTTTAGACTTACAGAGCAGCTCACCTATGGTGCAAACACTATCCTATCTAAAGGATCTGCACCTTAAGGCTGGACTCAGATTGATCACATTGAGATCAGCTACAGCTAGCGTGGTTGTATACAAGACTGCCGCCCTTTTTCGAGTAACTATCTGGACTCTGATCATGCCCTTGTTTGCGCTAATCTTATCTTACTTTTCAGTGGTCAACAAATTCATCTTCCTAAACGGATAGAAGTCGGTAAATTCGTTGAAGCTTCTGTTGCAGATAAATATAAAAACGAGCTGGGTTCAATGATAGCTAACATCACACCGAAAAGTATAGATGAGCATCGGCTGCTATTGTGTGACGCTATGAAAGTGATGAGTAGTGTCGCTTGAGGCTTTGCGAAACGTATCGCTTACAAGCACTGGGTTTCTACAGGCTTATTACAACTCGTTGAAGTTCATCTACCCACTATGAGTAACCGCGAGTTTACGAAATGAAATTGGTCAAAAAACTGAGAAGCTCGGCAGTCGGAGCTGTCCAAAGAGTTAGAAGCAGCAGCTGCATCTGATAACTACCGGAAGCTCTTTCATCTCATCCGAGTCACTGGCAGCAAGAAGTTTGGTGTGAGTGAAACAATCTATGAAACTGAGGGGATGCCAATCAATAACATTTACCGACGTCTTGGACGATGGACAGCGTTTCGAGGAAGAGTTCAAATGGTCTGTTGTCCCGGCGATATCGATCAGACTGTCCTGCTCTCCATGGTCGGTGACTACTGATCCACCCAATGAGGTGGAGGTCCGCAAGGAACTCCAACTCTCAAAGCTCCACGAATCACCAGGCCCAGAGAACTTACCTTCATCGATAATTTTTCCTATCTTTAAAAAGGGTTCACCTCATCTATGAGAAAACGATTAGGGGATAAGTCTACTTTCGATTGCGTCCAAACTATTGGCTTTCGTCATACTTCGTAGGTTGTACAAAACCCGGGAAAGATGGACTGGCAAGGAGCAGGCCGGTTTTCGTTCTGGTCGAGGATGCTTTGGTCATAACTCCATTCTCTGTAAAATGATAAAACACCGTCATACTTATCACAGGCCAATAATCGTTGTGTTCCTTGACGATATCAGAAATGGCTTAGAATAGAAGCCCGTGGCGATCCAGAGCGAAAGTAACTAGCTTAACTGAACGAATTCTGTCTGATTGTATTTTTCCTATCTGAAATAATTACCCGACTATTATTATCTCACTCGCATACACTTATTTGTGTTCATGGTTGCTTTTCTTTTTTTTGTTATATAGACCATTCTCTATCTTTTCACAACCGGATTTTTATTGTGAGTCGTATATGTATTTGGTGCCCCTTCGTACCAATGTTAATGTGTACAAATAAATAGTACTCACAAACACAGAGTATCTGTGAAGTTGAGAAAAACTATCGCATACCAAGAGTATCCATCACGTAAACCTAAGTAAAGAGAAATGCTGTTATTAGGTTATAAACTTAATTTTACTAGAAAATGACAGATACTACTGAGAAGCTAGTCTGTAAAGTTATTTCAAGTAATCTAACTATTCAGGTTAAAATGAAAACTGCTTATTGAGCAAACATGCAGTAGGTACAACAGAAAATGACATACATGGATATTTTTCCAGTTCTACAAGCTGTGAAACCATGAATGGGAAATATTACGATCACAAAAAATTAAGGCTCAGATTTTTGGATAGTGTGGGACGAAAATAATGTTCAGGTGAACTACTTACGCACGTGAATCATACAATTTATGATAATCGATGCGTTCTTTATCAATAGACTGCGATTTTGAGAATACTACTATCTACTTTTTTACAAATAAACACACTGCTATTGTGGTGTGTGCAACTTATATTGACATAAGTAGTATATAATGGTAGTAGAAATAGAATGTCTGGCAGCATATGTTCGAGAGGAAAGAACAGCGACAGAAAGCAATTGATATGGAAATGCGCGGACAATGAAGTTTTAGACCATTATTGAACATTTTGCAAATGAAGTATTCACTGTATAGTTCTCAGATTTTACTAAGAAGTTTTGTAATACATCTGATTATCCGCACTTGTGGTCTCGTTCACTGAACTATTCGTTAGATTGGTTGCGGGATACATACGTTCCATTGTGAGGCAGTGGACGGTCGCGCAATATCGTGGATCGGTTGAAGTTAACACCATCGGATGCCGGCTCACTGGTCCAGAGGTTAAGCGTTTGCGTGCAAAATCGGAGGTTTCGGGTTCGAGTTCCCTGTGTGGGATCGTGGATGTGAACTGCTGAGGAGTCTCGTACCAGGACGAGAAGGCCTTCTAGTGCTTCCGGGTTTCTAATGGTTGTCTAACACCGATCAATTCATGATATCAATATAATCCAATGGATTAGAAATCCTCCGAATTCGCAACTCATTAGTTTGTGTTATTGATTTGTATTTATATGATGATGGTGAACTTCAGTGCTTTAATATTACTCAACCGATATTTTATACAATGATCTATGAAAGCTACTGGCAGTAACACCTTACAGATTTTCACTATCAACCGGAAGTAGCACGTCAAATCTTTCCATGCTCTTTTGACCTTTAAGAAATTATATCACAGTAACTTCTAATTTTACATTTTATGTGAATATCTAAGTTACTATCTTTGAAGTATAAACTAAGAATAACCCTAGATGCTTATTCATGTTGTGAACAATTATCAACACAGTGGTGAACTGTTCATAATAAATCTTATGCTGTACTCTTATACAGACCGTTAACCTCTTTTCAATCAGATGTATTGTACAGTCGACAATCTAAAGAACAAACCTTTACTATGTACTGAACAAAATTATGGCAGCTAGGAAATTAGTGTAACTCAAGACAGAAATGAGTAAGCCATTTAAATTCAGTGTTTTTATAAAAGAAATTATCATTCGCTTTGTATAGCTGATGCATTAAATATCGGATTTGATTAAATGTAAGATTTCTGTTAGAGGTTTTTAAAAGAGTGAATATTAAGAGAAAAAAGTTCCGTATTGTCGTAGAATAATGACAGTTATTCTGCAATATTGAGAATTTTACCCAGAATTATCTATTCCTGTTGTGATCAAACTAGCATTAGTCAGAATCGGTGTACTATCCAATCTATCATTCGTCTTTATGTAATTAATTACACAAATCTTACTATAATGCAACATTAATCGAAATTCATTTTCAGGAAGTAACAAGATATTAACTTGTAGAGTAACATCTTTTCCCCCTAATAGATTTGTTTAAATCTCCGCCCAAGATGAGTAGAACATAATTCATTACAATAACAAGTTAGTTGCAAATTTTAGGTTTTTTAAAACATTTATTTGCTGTATCTTTCAGAAGATATTAAAATAGGAGAAAAATAACTATAAAAAGAAAGAAAAACTGTTGAGAATCATCATTTGAATGCAATCTTTTATACATTTTTACTTTGTAGATTGTAGAGTATCCCAACTGGATTCATGAATGTCCATTAACGGATAATCATAAAACTGTAACAAATAAACGTTTAGTGGTCGCTAACTTTAAATGAATATTTCACTAGTATTGAGATGAGATGAAAACTATTTCCGAATTTCCCACGAATATTTAGTAAACTAAGAAGATATTTTTTATGAAGTTGAAGTCAGTGTGAGATGAAACAAGATTTTACCAGGTAATTCTGTACAGATTAGAATTATATATTGATGAGATGGAGTGGAAATTGTAAAAGCTGAAAATTTTATCTCCTATTTGTGCTGTGAATTCTATATTGTACCAAAATATAATATTGAATAAAGCCATAAATAAATAATAATAATAATAATATATTTATTAGGAAATTGGTTAACGGTACTTCCATTTACAAGCTTTTGTCTAGTGTACAAACTATCGATACATGTTTCACCAATCCTATATTATCATTGATAAATTATTATTCGTTTCCTCCGTTCCCTATCGCTTTCGGTTTGATTGTGTGCATTAAGTAATACTTTTATTTGCAACCTGGTAACTTATGTATACAGATTCATGATCGTTCGAAACATACCAACATGTTTGCTTATTTGTTGTTTGTATGATTGATATATGAAGTAATTTCTTAATTACCAACTTTTGTTAACTTCTAGCTTAGATATGTGACAACAAAAAATTATTAGATAGATATATCACATGATACATATTTCAATAATAAACTGTATCACTTTTTGTTGATAAACATAATTAATAATCTTTTAACAAGTTCCTTCTAGGATCCAACGCCTAAATATTCTTAGAGGCATTTCTGCTGGCTGAAAAAACAATCTGAGATCATATTGGTAACTATAATACCGAAATTTGTAAACTGAAATGTTATGACAGACGGTGTGTGAAATCTGATACTGATACATGACGTACTACACCCCAACCACCCAATGGACTACTTGAGCAAGAACAGAAGAGTGGACGAGTTACCTAATAAAATGCACGAATACTTATGACTGGATACCAGATCACAAGGTTACATGCGTCCCGGACTAACTGCTGTTCGGAACTGTCTCAATCGTTTTAAGTCAGGATGTCGATGGTCAAGGATAAGGTTGTCAGCATATAAGTGAAAAGTATACTTGAATTAGAACGTTACAAATGGAATGTGTATTGGCAGTTATCTCACATGTATAGAGATATTAAGGACATGACACGTATTATCACAGCCTATCGGATACGAGTATATAACTCGAAGTTTTCAAGGTCCGTTTTTTTGAAACAGTTTTCTTGAGTTTGTAGTACCTCCTATTTCTGAAGTAAAGAAAATTTATCAATAAGATATATTTTACCACACAACACTAAAACGAATCACTACGAACCGATGAACAAATGCAAAGGAACTCAATGTTCGATAGGAAGAGTTATACTATATAAAAAAAACAAATTCTAAAAAACTTATTACATCTATAATATTAATTGTTCGGATGTCATTCTGTAGTTTGCTTTTGTTCATCGTAAATGCTAAGTGATAATTAGCTAATTGGAGTTTTATGAGCTCATTGTATATAGTACAGATAAATACATAATTGTACATAGAAGTGAGTGATTTATGCATTATTATTGACTGATAGTTTTAAGAACTCTGTTGTATAATCCCAAAGTTGACTAGCTAGATGAAGATCGAGTGAATTATCAGGCCAATCAATAGGTGTACAATTGTTATATAGCATACCGCTACCAGATGTCTCAGTTAAAATAGATTGAGCATAATTATTATGATGAATAGGAACTTGATCACTAACTGCACAATGAACAACCGTTTGGCAACCCTCTGAAGGAGATTTCAAGAGTAGTTGCATTAAAACACGGATGAAACGCCGAGTGAGTGGTGAATATTTTATCAAAGTATCTCGAAATAAATTAGTATTTACCATCCCTCCGGTAAATAAACAATAAACATCAAGTATTTTATTATCACCTGAACCATACCTCTGATGAAGTTCGCGTGAAAATAAATTGCAAGCCAGCTTAGAATCAGAATAAGCTTTATTGGAATTTAAATCTGATGTAGTATTGTACGGTTGAAATAAATCTTCTGTCGAGAACGTTCCGTTTTTTGATAAAGAGGAGCTTACAACAATCACACGAGGATAAATAGATGTTTCATGATATGATTTTCGGAGGTAAGGTAAAAGTAGTGAAGTCAGGAAAAAATGTCCAACATAATTAGTAGCCAAAGTAACATTGATATCTTGGTAATATATAGAAGGACGAAGAATCTTAGAAAATGCACCGGCGTTATTGATCAAAACATGAACAGGTAAAGGTAAAAATTGTACAAACTCCTTAATCGTTTGTGGATTCTCCAAGTCCAAAAGTCTAACAGAAATGTTATGATTACCAGTGAGAGATGTAATTTCTTCTTTAACCTTAATGGCAGAGTTCATATTTCTGAAAATTGAAAACTATAACTGAGATAAACTGTTACTTACCTGCAACCTAACGTTAGTTTCCAATTTCTTTTGGCCAATTCAAATGCAGTTGCGCGACCAATACCGGAACTAGCACCAGTGATGACTGCATGTTGGCCAACAGGGGACAAACAATTGCAGAGTACCGTTTTTCTCTGAGTTAACCACCGCATTGTTAAAATGAAAACAGTACCAACAGCAGCACTAATTCCGAGTAACCACAAACCCATGTATATACAAAGTAGGAAACTGGAGCACCATTGGAAATATATTCCAACTCATATTTCACATGGCAGAAAGCCTAATTTTAATGGAGATATAAATCATCTTAATACAGTAATTTGGAAATAAATTTTGACAAAAAAATATATAAATATTTCACAAGTCATTCGATATACGTACATATTTAATGGTCCAGTAAATACTATTCAGTTGTACAAATAAAATAACTAAACAGATACTTCACGTCACATGTTAATATAGAACAACATTCGTCATCAAAACCACAGCTATAAATGCTGATAAGAATTCAAGGGGAGTTAAACGACTACCTCTAGGAACACCTAAGTGCTAGACTTATTCAGCGAAAATGTTAAACATACAAAAACAAATGAAGCTGACAATCCATCCGAAGACAAGTATTTACAAACAAGGTTATCAGAAAGAGCTGATTTAGTGCATCTTGAATACGTAAACAGCTCACATCTTCATACGATAAAGGGCGATGACGTTATCCGGAATCAGAATGAAAGCTTTTCAATCGAATTACTTGGCTCAGAGAACACAACACAACCAAAAACATAATTACCAACTTGAATCACATTGTAAAAGAACAAAGTGTATAGTTTAAAAATACAGTCAATTTTATCATCTCTGTTTGCTTACTTCTTATCACATTATTTTCCACTGCAGCTGAACGAATTGGAGTTGAAGCAGTCTTCACCAATATTCATTTACGCTAATTTCTGTGCCGTTTACATTTACAGCTACCCACCATTTCCAAACAGCCTGAATGGAACATTGAAATAGACCCCAAACTCAACTCTAATTGAAGTTTAAAAAGTTACAGCTAGTCTGAAACGTGAGAGGGAAACTGGTCCAGTTTTAGCGATTAGGTTGACTAATATTCTAGCTAAAACCTGGGAACTGGATGAAATCCCATGTGACTCGTCGCAATCACTGATTGTCCCAATATATAAGAAAGGATCAAAATCATCTTGTGATAACCATAGAGAGATTAATTCAACTAATAACGCATCTAAAATACTATCCTCAATGCCCCCAAACGCCCTGGTACGGCCGAGAGTGGGGAGAGTCCGCTCTCCCTCTCGAAATGCTCTCACATGGCCACGCGTATATAGCCTCTGCAAGGGAAGTCTTACTCACTGCCTTCTCGTGGCATTACTGTTGTTTACGAAAATGAGAGGACGAAAAGCGAATGTCTGGCGCTATAACCGGATCCCAAACCAATGGTACACATGAGCTCCAGTATCTTGAATGAACAAATGGCGTATGAACCAATCGTTGGTCACCGGCTACCATGGGACTGCATCTCCTCACGATGCTCCACTGCCTTGTGGGTCAGACGTTCAGGTCGAAGGCTCTGAGTGTGGCTCCTAAGAAAACCACCTACTTTGGTTTGGGCACCCGTGCAGTATCACAGCCCTCACACATATCAAGTGAGATCTGTGTGGCGCATATGTATTTGGTGCCTTCTTGTACCGATATCTATGTGTTAAAATAAATGAATAAAACTATCCTCAATAACTATCGGATGCCTAACTAAGACTCGTGAACCGCAAACACGAGAAAAGCAGGTTGGCTTCAGACCAGGTCGTGGATGCATTGACCACATATTCACCATTCGCCAGATCTTAGGACAGAGGCATGCTTATTGGCGTCCGACAATGGTGGTCTTTCTTGACTTAAAAGCAGCATTTGACTCTGTAGAGTAAAAGGTTCTACGGCAGTACCTGTCACTGAAAGACACATCTTAGAAGTACGTAAACCTTGTGGAAGTTCTTTACTCAAACACTACCAGTCGAGTCAGAGCTTATGGCAAACTGTCATCTGCTCTTGCAATCTGAAATGGTGTCCGACAAGGCTGTCCACTATCTCCATTTTTGTTCAACTTCATCTTAGACCTACAGCTGGAAATAACGTTTTCGTCGACTGAATTTTCGAGTATTGATCTCCTACCAGGAGTTCCACTTATTGACTTAGAATACGCAGATAACATAGTCCTGTTTGATGAAGACGCTGATAAAATGCAGAGTATTTTGGTAGCACTGAGCAACAATGCCAGGATGTTTGAGATGCGTTTCTCTCCCTCTAAATGAAAATTGTTGTTTCAGGACTGGCCTGTGTCAACACCTGAACTAATGATAGAGAGTGAAGTGGTCGAACGCGTTGACAACTTCACTTGTCTTAGAAGTTTGAACAGCCCTCATGAGTTAGTGTCTGGCGAAATCTCAGCACGGATTCGAAAAGCTCATTTGGCTTTTAACAAGCTACGTCACCTATGGCGAAGGCGAGATATCCGTCTATCAATTAAGGGACGAGTATACTGTGCAGCAATCTGTTCTGTTAACTCTATGGCTGAGAAACGTGACCATTAGGAGTAGAGGACACTCGTAAGTTACTAGTATTTGACCACAGGTGCCTTATAAATATTGCGGGTGTCTGCTGGGATCACCGGGTAAGTAATAGTGAGGTTAGACACAGGGTATTAGGGAATGACGGTATATCAGTCGATGAGGTTGTGAATCTTTATCGACTGAGATGGTTGGATCACGTGTTACGTATGCTTGGATACCGGTTACCACAGTGCGTAATGCTGATTAGTGCTGAGGATGGTTGAAAAAAGCTAGGGGCGGCCAAACTTGGCATCAGTCGTTGAAGTCACTAACTTCTGGTCTGAGCCATGTTGGTAGATGCAGACTGTCTGGTTGGGGTCCGCGTGACTACCGTAACCAATGGTTGGAGACTCTTGGTGACATGGCTGATGAAGAATGGGATAACACATTCCAAATCCCTGTTAGTGCTTCACCCAGTTACAGTAACTGTGCAACAGATAACAGGAAAACTAATCATAACATTTCTATAACTGACCACACACTTAACGTCGATATATTCGAACCTCGCAAACCATCACAATTATGTTTAACAGCACACGCTTCTTCTCAAATTATGAAGAAGCCGAAATTAACCACAAACCTTGTAAATAAACGTTGGGAAAATGTTACCCAAACGTCAGGTATAAATGGTAATCTGAATTGTAAATGGCCACTTGGTCGCACACATAGACCCTATAGCCTTCTTGGTCCGGCTCCCAATAAGTACACTATGCCTTTATCAGATGTTATATCTAATAGCAATGAGAAGAATCCTTTTGTAATGCCGCCGGCTTTTCTGCCGGCAACGGTAAACATATATCAAATGATGACAAAATGGTTGAATCTATTTCCCGTCGCAGCACAACTCTTACCTTAGACAATGCTACGAGTATTCATAGAACTACCAATTGCGATTTATGCTCTAGCCTGCTTCACCATGATAACTCTGAGTTTCTTATTCTTTCGTTCAATGCCGCTCTCTGTCCAATAAAATTATTCATCTTAAAACTCTTTTATTCCTTGTAAATCCGACCATTGTACTTATTACGGAAACGTGGTACAATTCATCAATATCCGATCACTCCTTGAATATAGATAACTAAGTTCTCTTTAGAACCGATAGATGTTATGGATTAGGAGGCGGTACAATTATCTATGTTCGTTCAGACTTTCAGGCGTGCAAATTTGAAGATAAATCTCTTGAGGCTATAGATGACTCCACTTGGGTTACTGTAAACTGTGGATCTCGAAATTATCTACTGGTGGGATGCATATACAGATCACCTCATGCGGATACTAAGTTTGACAGATTACTAAGAAACATCTTTTCCATTGCTTCGCACCAACCGCATACTTTTAAAATCATCGGAGGTGATTTTATTCTGCCGAAAATTGCTTGGGGTTCGACTGTGGTACCAGGTCGATATAACAAGCTATTTGAAACACTGGAAATTTGTGGATGGGTTCAACAGGTCTGAAAACCGACTAGAGGGAATAATATACTTGATTTATTGTTTACAATTAACATAGAATCTATCTCAGTGCATACCAGTCATGAGTTTTTGTGGTGTTTGAATGAACTAATGACTCCTTTGTACTTGTTGAATGTTTGATTTCGAATTCTAAATACAGTACATTCGTTAGTGCTTGTGTAGTACTTCTTGATTCAATTGCGTTATCTCTGGGATTCTTAGTTCATACAATAATTCAATTACTTATAATTATCATATGGCGTCGCGATGGAGCCTGAGATGGAACAGTTAGATATTCATTCAACTTCTGAAGCTTTTGAGGATTATTTGGAAAGGTTTGAAATTTGGAGCATGACCAAGAAGGATGTTAAAGGTGATAAAATTGTGGCACATTTCCTGACATTCATCGCAAAAGAAGCATACAGCTTATTGAAAACTTTGGCATATCCAGAAAAACCTATCTCACTTCATTATGCAACTATTAAGGAGTTATTATTAAATCATGTAAAGTGCACTAGTTTTGAATGCCGTGAAAGGGCAAAATTTCATAAGATGACTCGTCGAAATGACCAAAAGGTTAAGGAATTCATTCTTGAATTGCAGAAACAAGCTGCCAAATGTAATTTTGGTGATCAACTTCATGTGCAACTGAGAGATCGATTAATTGCAGGAATTAACTTGCCGGGTTTGGAAAGAGAGCTGTTAAGAATGCCGAACTGTTCCTTTCAAGATGCTAGAACTGCGTGTATTAACTACGAGGCAGTGAATGAACTTGATATCCAGTCGATGAATATTTCTAATACTTCGCTTAGTCGTCATAATGGAATACAATCTCAGGGTCAATCAAAATTGCGTTCATTTAACAGTGGTTCCTATTCTCGTGTAAATATGAAAGATATCTCAACAAGAAATTACAAAGGAAATCACAAAGGTGAGACCAAGTTTGGCAAATGTTTATCATGTGGAAAAATTCATTCTCGTAATTCATGTGCATTTCGTAATGCTAAATGTTTTAGATGTGGTAAGATAGGACACATTCAATCAGTATGCAAAGCTACTATTCATTTTGCCTCAAGTAGTACTAAATCTTGTAATTTAGATCCCAATAATTCAGCTGTTCCTAATGATCATTTATCTTTGTCT